CCTTCTGTATTAGTTTCCTATGTTCTGTGAGAAGTTGCCGCAGACTTTGTGGCTTAAAACCACACACATTTATTCAGAGTTCTGTAGGTCAGAAGTTCAAACTCAGTTTCACTGGATTGAAACCAAAGCATCAGCAAGGCTTTCCCTCAGACACACCAGTGGAGAATTGGTTTTTTGTCTCTTCCGGCTTCTGTGGCTCCCACGTTCCTTGGCACGGGGCCATATCACTTCAATCTCTGCCTCTACGATCATATTGCCTTTCCCTCTTCTGTGTCAAATATCTTTTTATCTCCTTCTTATAAGGATAATTTTGATTGCATTTAGGGCTCACACTGGTAATCTTGTATGGTCGCCCCTGTTTTAGTCAGCTCAGGCTGTCATAACAATATACCACAAACTGGATGGCTTAAACACCAGACATTTATTTCCTTCAGTTCTGGAGGCTGAGAAATCCAAGGTCAAGGTGCTGGTGGACTCAGTGTCTTTTGAGGGGATGATCTTCCTGAGTTGTAGAAAGCCACCTTCTGGCTGTCTACTCATATGGCCTTTTCTCAGGGAGTATTGTTGGGGACAGAGAGAGGCAGATCACTTTGCCTTCCACTTTTTACATGGTCACTAAACCCAACATGAGGGTCCCACCCACATGACCTAATCTAACCCTAATCACCTCCCAAAGGCTCCACTTCTAAATACCACTACATTGAGGGTTAGGGTTCAACATGTGAATTTTGGGGGAACTCAATCATTCGGCCCATAACATTTTAATCTCCAAGATTCTTAACTTAATCACATTTGCAAATAGCCTTTTGCTATATGAAGTAACATTTATAGGTTCCAGAAGTTTAGGACCTGATATCTTTGGGGGGCATTATTCAGCCTGCTGCTCCCTCCCTTTAGAATTTAGTTAGATTTCTCTTGTCTATGACCCTTCACATTTTATACTGACCTCTACATTTATACTTGTCACATAAATATTAAAATATTTCGCACTAGAATGAAAACACTTCAAGAGAAGAGGATGTACAGTTTTGTTCATTTTTCTTTTTTTATTCTATTTCACCATGCCCTAGCATGGTGTCTGGCACCTAGTAGGCAGCGCAATATGTATTTATCAAACTTTGAACTGATGGTGACTCTGATTTTTGTGTTTCAAAACAAGTGACTTACCCTATAAAGAGAGAACTTGCTAATGGGCTCAACTTTTGGAAAAATAGCCAAGATGAGGTAAGGAAAAACAGCCAAATACAAACATATATTATAAACTTTTTAAATTAGCGTCTTTGGGAATCGCTGATAAGAATCTTGCAAAAATTATTATTAAAGAGGGAAAAATCTATGTTTTGTGTAAAAACAATGAACAGGAAAGAAGAGATCTGTGTGGTATAGTGGAAGGACTGTGGACTTGTGGTAATCTGGTTTCTATATTTACTCACTGAGTAACCTTGAGGAAATTATATTTTGAAGTATTCCATTAAGGAAAAGAAATCTCTTTTTGTAAATTTTATTTTTCAGTATTCTCCAGTAAACTATGGTGATATGTGTGTGTGTGTGTGTCTGTCTATTAATCTATCTATCTATCCTATCTAAAGTTATTTATCATAAGCAATCAGCTCATACAAGTATGGAGGCTGGGAAGCCTTAGGATTTGCAGTTGGCAAGCTGGAGACCCAGGAAGCTGGTGGGTGGTGCAGTTCCAATCTAAGTCCGAAGGCCTGAGAACCAGGAAGGCTGATGGTACAGTTCCAGTTTGAAGGTGGTCAGGCTTAAGATCCAGGAAGAGCTGATGTTTCAGTTTAAGTCCGAAGGCACGAAAAGACAGATGTCCCAGCTCAATGCAGTCATACAGGAGGAAATTTACTCCCACTTGCAGGAGGGTCAGATTTTTGTTCTATTCAATCCTTGAAGGATTGGATGAGGCCCACTCACATGAGGAGGGACAATCTGCTTTACTAGTTCCACCAATCAAAACATTAATCTCATCCCAAAACAGCCTCACAAACTCATTTAGAATAATGTGTGACCAAATATCTGGGTGCCCTGTGGCCCATTCAAATTGACACATACAATTAACCATAGTTGAAACAGGAAGTTTTTGAGAGAAGCAACTTTAACTTATCTGATCTTTGAAGATGGAGCATTTATCTCTTGTCACAAAGAATGAATGCTATGTTTCCACCAAAACCAGTTTCTTTTCCTCCTGGGAAGGTAGCTATTTTGCACTTCTCACATTTCAACCTCCCTCTACTATTTAGGGTTGCCATATCCTTTTGTTCTAACCAGCAGGCTATGAATAAAGTGAAGTGAACTTCTTGCAAGCTAGTCCACCAAAACCTCCCATTCACAATTTGTCATGCTTTTTCCTTTTCTACCAGTCTGACGGAGGATGTTTGAGAAGCCAAACATTGAAGATATTGGAGGAGAGCTGTCCACTTACCACAAACACCTATTTAAAATTTTATGTGAGCAAGAAATATACCTTTCTTCTCTTTGAACCATTATACATATTAAGGGATTATTTCTAACAAGCTTCCAAAAAAATTATACTTCTTTATTCACTCAATCCTATGTAATTATAAGAATACTGAAATCTTAATTTTGAAATAGTTATTTCCTAAGGGTAATAAAAAGAGCTGAAAAATATTAGTAGCATATTCTTATCAGATTTGTATTGTTCAGCCTTTTAAAACCACATTTCTACGAACTTGTGCACACTGAAGCCACCCATGTGTTCCTTACTGAAACTTCCTGTTATAGTAGTTGCATTTCAGAAGGAAGAACAGTTTTGAAGACCATAGTCACTTCTGTACTACTGACCAACTACAAGTGATTAAGGAGCTAACTAAAATTTTAAACTGTTTTTGGGAAAATGTAAATTATCTTCATAGAAAATCACTTAGTGTCTACAGAAAGACTGACATAAATTTTTAGAGAAGGCAAAGTGAGTGAACAGCAGAGCCATGGTCACTGTTAGTAATGTGTCAGCTATTATAAAGGCAGTAGGAAGCTAATATCGTATGAAACAATAAATACCTTGAGAATAATTTAAAAGAGTGAAATAAATATTAAATTATTACCATGAAAATATCATTGCAATTATCAGTATACAAGCTGAGAGGAATTAGCAAAGCTGTTAAATTATTTATTCTCACATATTCTTTGAAAACCTTTGAAAATTTTAAGATATTCATTTTATTCAAAAAAATCCAATAGGTCCATGTAATTTAGTTAATTACTAACATTACATATTGAATAGAATGTTTCTTTATGATATAATACCCAAATGAAAGATTATCTTTTAAAGCATGTTCTAAAAGTATTTAGAATTCTGAAGACATACTTTTATAGGTTAATTCTATTAATGATGTCAACTGAATTTTTAAGTTGCTTGGGAATGATATAAACACCTCTGTTTTGTTCAACTGAAATTTATATACAGACACAGATCTATATCATATAGCAAAAATCACATATGGGATATTACATTGTGACATAGAACAGTACTGGTTTGTAATGGTGAAGTTAATTATGGCGGTGATTATGTACAATTGCAAATTCTACTGTAGAAGCTATCAAATTTTATGTTTTTGTCTAAAATAAAATTAATGTATACAGTATTTCAATAAAATAGCAGCAAACAAGAAAGCACTCTTAAAATTACACACACACACACACACACACACACACACACACACACACACACACACACACTAACCTGGAAAGGTGAAGTTAAAGGATTAGAGTAGGTCAATAGGAGAGAAAAAGTTACAATCATTGAGAATCAATCTTGTGTGTTCAAATTCAACTGATGTGAGTTTCAGATAGGCAGAGCACAGAAGAAGACAGATGCGAATAAATTGTTAAAGAGACAATGCAATAAAATTTTCTGACACTAAAAAACAGGAATCTCCACATTTGTGGGATTGAGTGAGCACCAGTGCAATGAATTTTAAAAACCGCTGTAGCAAACAACATTGTGAAATTTTAGAATACCACTGATATAGTAAAGCTGCTAAAAGGCACCCATGAAGGAATGGAAGGAGAGGGAAAGGAAAAATAAAGAAAAGAAAACCCAGATCAGTTGTAGTTTGTAGAGTAGGTGGCTGTTCAGTATTCAGATATGATTTGTCGAATTTTAAGCAAAGATTTCCAAGAAGCTATAACCCAAATCTAATACTACAAATAGGTATAGAAGCTAAAATTAGTCCTCCCAGACCAAATAATGTGAGAACTACATTTGTTACATGACAATCTGTTTCACATACTTGTTCAGATAAAAAAACCAATGCACCAAAAATAATCACAGGCACTAAAAGGAAGTCTGTATGGGGAATCTGATGAGTAATGAGTGCACTGTTAGAATATAAATGGCCAAGTAGTACTCCATGGTATACATATACCACATTTTATTAGTCCACTCATCAATATTCTAATAGCCACATTACCATACTACTTAAAATTTTCTCACATCTGCCTAAGAAAATATCCATTCACATCCCAAATAAAATCATTTTATTACTTTACTTATTCATCAAATGAACAAAAATAGATTGGATGCCCTACTATGGCTTTGGCAGTGTTCTAAGTGCCAGAAACAAACACATAGTGAACAGAAAAACTATTGATAGAGCTTACATTTTATTCACAGAAATTGGGCATTAAACATTTTAAAAGAGGCAACTAGTTATACATCAGGGGGTCATGAATGCCATAATTTTATCTGTTTAGTTTTGTTTCTCTGAGGTCAGGTTAACAGGTCCTTCTCAGGTAATCTCATTTTCCTGTACTTTCTGTTAGAAGTAGCAACATAATTTATCCATCAAAAGCTTCCGATTGAGAAACTTAGAGCTATTCAACCAAATATTTAAGGAACAAAGAATAATTTTGTTCAAGAACCTTGAAAAAATGAAATACCAGTTCATTTATGGTGTCTATCATAACTTAAACCAGACAGGAATGGCATATGAAGTATAGCTCCCATATAGCCTCAAAATGCGATTACCATGCAATTCATTGAAGAATATGCTTCTAATTTCAATAACTCACTACTCTAGATATTTTTGCCTTAAAATTTTATCATAATCAAATCCTACTTAATATCATAAAAGTATTTTGATAGAACCTACCATTTTTAAATTTATGAAGTAATTTATTTATTCACATATTCTGGTTAGAAATGTCACAATATGTACTTGAATTCAATGTTCTTTTATGATAAAATTGGCTCAGTTTGAAGTTAAGTATGAAGAATTAGAAAGTCAGTTGGTTTCAAAGTCTAGAACTAGAAAAATATTAAAACTGGGATTCTCTCCTCAAAATACTGTAGAATATATGAGTGTGAATATTTCTTTTTAGCTATGAAACAGTTTTGAAATTAAACAAATATGTGTTAAAAGATAAGGGCAAATTAATACTGAAAGCACAAGTAACTACAAAATAAAGTTTATTTATATTATAAAATTATTTGAAAATAATAGGTAAATTATGTCTTGATTAAAGATCATATCATTATTATCTAGGACATTTATATAAATTTAAATAAATTCTAAAAGAAGAAGTTAAGAAGTTAATCCTAAACCTCTGATAGACAAAGAACCACTGGAGAGATTGGATCAAATGAGTCATGATCTGGCTACAAGATTCACTTTTCTCCTGTGTTAAGAGTAGACAAGGGACAGGAAGAGGAGGGCTAAAAACAGAGAGATGTCTAGTATGGAGCTAGAGTCCATTCTTCTAAGTAAGGTATCACAAGAATGGAAAAACAAGCACTACATCTACTGACCATCAGATTGGTACTAATTGATAAACACTTATGTGCACATATAGTAGTAACATTCATTGGGTGTCAGGCAGATGGGAGTGGGGAAAACAGGATGGGTAAATTCATATTTAATGGGTGCAGTACTCACTGTCTGCGGGATGGGCACTCTTGTAGCTCTGACTTGGGCAGTGCAAAGGCAATTTATGTAATCTAAACATTTGTACCCACATAACACTATAAAATAATAACAATAAAAAACCCCAGGGAGATGACTTAAGAGGTTTTGTAATAATCTAGCCAACAAATAATAGTGGGTTTGACTACAGTATTAGTAATGGAGGTAGTGAAATGCAGACAAGTCCAAAATGTACTTTGAAGATAGAAGAAAAAGGAATTTTTAATAGAATAAATATGCAATATAAAAGAAAGAAAGAATCAAAGATGATCTTAAGACTTTGTATCTGAGAGACTGGAGTTATGGATATATCATTTAAGAAAATGGAAAATTGAGGAAATACAGTCTTTGAAGGGAGTTCAGGGATTTAGTTTTAGGTGTGTTAAGGTTGAGATGTCTATCAGGTATCAAAATGGTGATGTTCAATAGCAAGTACCGTGTTTCCCTGAAAATAAGACCTACCCATAAAATAGGCCCTAGCGGGATTTCTAAGCATTTGCGCAATATAAGCCCTACCCCGAAAATAAGACCTAGTGATGGGCGTGGCTACGCAGCTTATCTGCACAACCCATGCATTTTGTCACCCAGCGGTAAAGAAGACAAGCAGCCCTTCTCATCTGCCCCATGAGAACTCTGTTGCTCCACATGAGAGATTGGGGCCAATGGTTCTAAAGGAAATAGAGTTACAAGAAATTCAGGATGGAATTTGGGGTTTGGAGAGTTATGATGATGTTCCAGATTAAGACGACTTAACTATATTTGAATAAATGTAGATTGTTGTATTGTACTTAAATAAAATAACACATTCCTGAAAATAAGCCGTAGGGTGTCTTTTTGAGGAAAAATAAATATAAGACCCTGTCTTATTTTGGGGGAAACATGGTAGTTGTTTGTGTCTGGAGCTCTTGGATGGGATCTGAGCTGTAGATGTAAGTTGGGTTCATCAGAAATAATAAATAGTAAAAGTTGGGTTCAACAGTAAAGGATTGGGACTGGATGAGATCAAAAAAGGAGTGTTGATGGAGAAGAGATCTATAAATTGGATTGATGTTTGAAGTATGGGAAGACATGTGTAGGAGGAGTGAAGAAAAAAAGACTAAGAGCAAGAAGGAATAAAGAGAAAAATGGAGAGTGTTTTGCTTTGAAGGCCACGTGAAGAAAATACTTTAAGGAGGCAGGAGTGACAAACTACATTAATGCTACTGATAAGGCAAATAAGATAAAGACTGACCGTGACTCTCAAAACATTAAAATTCTGCATGTTTGTAAGATGTTGGTAATGATATAATAAAGAGGAAAAAATCATGGTACACAAGAAAGAGAATTGCTAAAGCCATTCCTTTCAGTAGGTGAGAGGAAATTACTAGTTGAGAGTGAATAGATTGGCTTTACATAGGAACGTAGATATTTCATCCATAGTTAACAGGATAGACTGTAAGTATATGAGCACAAAGGCATGCAGGTGAATATAATTATGAGTTATATTGGTAAGAAACATTTCTCAGTAAATACAACAAACACATTTTTGTTCACCAGCAATGAAAGAAAACCACTGAGCTACTCCACTAAAATATGACTGGTTGAATTTGCCAGACTGCGATTCAGATATGCGTCCATTTTTTATTCCAGTGTATTTCCATACTGACAACGAATAGGCATATTTTTGTAGAATCTATCTATAACAAGCATGTGTATTTGGAAGGGAAGCAACTGAATCTAGAAATATGCAACCCTTGTTCTCAAGGGAAATGAAACAAAATATCCTTTTATTTTATTTGTTTTTTCAATCATGATTTGAAGATTGGATGAGGGTAAGTGTAAAGTCACCAGGGTTAAAACTGAAGGTTCTTCTCATTATAAAAACATTTTAAGATTATTTTTAGCATTGTTAATTCCATTATCTGGCATCTGTGTAAATATATGCCAAAATTATCATATCACAAATATCTTCAAAATAGCAACATTGGGCTGCATTCATGATATATTTTTATCAAGTTACCATGTAGCTTTCAGAAGTGAATTGTTTAATGGCTTATCAATTCACTTTATATTTTCACTGAGTTGCATTTGTAACTAACCAGTTGTCAATAGAGTGTAAAATAGATTTTCAAAGAGTAAAAGCTTCTTTGTTGATTCATGTAAGGAAATAGATATAGAATAAGATTATATAAATAAGAGAAGGAATGGCCAGCTATTCAAGATTTCAAAACGACTCCAAGGGACAGATTCTTTTAGGCAAGTAAAATACACCTTAAATCTTTTTATTTAAAATTGTCAATGTTTTTATTTTTTACTGATTTAAATCTAGTACCAAAAGTCAAAGGATAGTCCATTTGCTAACATAGATAGAAAATATTATTTATTTTCACACCAAGTATGTAGATATGAATTTAAAACACAGTTGTTATAGCTTATCAAATTTACAGGAAAAGTAAAGATAGTATTTTCTTATAGAAAAGTTGTAAAATGAAATAGATGTAACACTATTTAATTCCTCTTCATATTTTAAAATTTAATCACTTTTAATTAAAAAGAAAGGATGACAAGAAAGAAATAGATAACAAAGAAACTGCATTATAGAAAAATATCAGTATTTGGCTTATTAAAGTCTCTTCCAGGTGATATGAGTCTCCATTATTTAACTGTTTAAAGTATAAAATACAGGTGTCAGATCACACCAGTTTTCATATTGCCACAGAAAGCAAAATTCTCCCTCACAAGTGAGATTCACTGGGCAGATGGGTTTGTTATTGTGTTTGACATCAGTGATAGGTCTTTGCTTGCTTTTGCAAGAGTTCTGATCTACAGAACTCAGGAGTCACAAACTAGTCATTGCAAAAGGTAAGGTATTTTTCATTCCTTTCTCCTTTCTTTTTAGTAAATCATCATATAGCTGTAAGCATCATTAGGAAGAATTTAATATAGCCTTCCAATTACAAAATTTAACAGCCCTGAACAATTCACCTTCCCATTCCACAGGAGTTACACATGTAGTAAAAGGAATAAGATGAGAATGCTTTATATCCTGGCTGACATAAACAGTTACTTGCCCTGAGTAAATGGCTATTTTACAAGACAGCTTCTATTGTTAACATGACACTCACTTGCAAAATAATGGTCCTCTATATACAAGATAGTTCTCTTTCCAACCCTTCCTTCTCATTCTCACAAAATGTTAAGGATACTAAATAAATCCAGATTTATTATGTTTGGCATCCTGTGAAATCCAATTCGTAGTCATTGGGTTGTTCAATCTATCAAAGCAAAATAGCCTGAATAATCAAACCGTTTACAAATTCTAAGTGTGTGGATACATTTTTCTCCATGTCACCTCCTAAAATAAAGAGCTGATCAACATTTCTCCCTTGTTAATTGTCTTGACACAGGAACTATGAAGAAAGATGCTATTGTACCTTAAGCCATTGTTGCATTAGTAGATAAAAGTTTAAGCACCTGAATTTTCCATTTTAGTTTTCCCTGTTTTTTGGTTGTTTTAGCCTTTTCCATTTTTTTTTTTTTTGTTCAACATGCTGATGATGTAAGGGATTTTTTTGTGCTTTTAACCAGTTTTACTCTTAGAGTCTAAAATAACATTCTAATCTGGTTAGTAAAAACATACAATATTATTACTAAAAATTGGTATATATACTTTTTATATCTATTCTAAATCCCCATTATCAAGAAATCATTAAACAATAATTAATTGATACAGAATATGTCCCTGAAGTCAGTGATGTACATTCTTGTTTACAAGAATGTACATTCTAATGTACTTTAATCTCTAGAGCTCATTTTTCTAAGAATATAACTGATGCCATATTAGCAGAAAAAGATGTGATTTTACTGAGATACCTCATAGCTCTGATTTTCTATAATAGCACTTATATTTTAGAACCTCATTAATTATTTTAAGCATTAAATTTCTTATGTGTAAGCATCATGATATAGGTAAGGTACATGAATAAAATTATTTTGATATTCCTCCAAATCAAAATTATCTCTTAAGAACACTTAAATACATATTAAAAATCTCAAAAACCTATATTTGACATTTTTCAGCCAATCTTCTTAATTTATTGACTAAATAATGTTTAGAATATTTCCAGATCTCAATCTGTAGAAAGCCTCGGAGAGCAAATTATAGCAGTTTTATAAAATTATATCTGATATTTATGTGAAACATTTTCATGTACCTTTTCCCATTTATCCATTGCAGTAATTTCATGAAGTAGACTGAAAAAGACATTGCTAATACCCCTGAAAGTCCCCCACATACAGTGATTTTTCTCTCACTGCTTACTTACACTATCATGTGAATAAAACCCAGCTAGCAGTCAAATCTGGAGCTAATATAAGTGAAGACTATCTGTGTTTGCCCTTTTCTTCTCTAGAGTAGATATCTTGGCAGAGTTCCATACCACTTAAAGGCTAGTCATTTTACTATACTCTTCAAATCAAACTCTATTTTTGTATTGTTTCACTATAATGAAGAAGAATATATTGATATTTGCAGAAGATATTTTACCTTAAAAACATTTTTTTAAAAAAGAAAATTTGTGCCAGGTTATGGTGTCATTTTCTGTAGAGTATGTTATAATAAATATTACCAAAGCAAAAGCAGTAATGAGTATCAAATAATATTTTTGCTTAGGAAATTTTTCTAAATTGACTGTTCAACTACAGTAGCTGTATAAGTAAAGAGACATTTGTTATTCTTCCCTTGTAATTGATAAGGGATATGAAAAATGATACTTAGAGCATCTTTCATTGTGAATGTGCTTTGTATTTTTATGTACATCATTTGATTTAATCTCTACAGAAAGTCTGTGTCATGTGGATGATTTTACCATACTTTACACAAAAGGAAACTGAAAGTGGGAAAGGTAATAATCATACCTGGTTAGTTAACACATCCAGAATTCAAGAATAGGTCCATCATACTTCGAATCCTAGGCTTTAAGAGAGCCTTGTTGCTTGTCACTTGCTACCTTCTATCTACGATGATTTTTGTAAGTAAGTGGGGATACGTGTCACTCTACACACATATGACCATGAATAACACACATGCATCACTCCATACTCTTCTTTCTTTTTTGATTTATAATCCTTTGGATATAAACCTACCTGTTTTTAAACAACAACAAAAAAAATTGTTCAAACAAAATCTTGCCAAAAATTGTGAATCCTTATTTCAGAGCTGTGGAATTAGCTTTTGGTTGCCAACAAGCAAGATCTCTGTCATGTGTGAGAGAGGTTGGCTGGGAAGAAGGGCAAAAGCTGGCATTGGACATCCGGTGCCAATTCTGTGAACTGACTGCCACAGAGCAGTCTCTTGAGGTAGAAATGATGTTTATCAGAATTATCAAGGACATCCTGGCAGGCTGTTCAAACTCAAAGGACAGAGATGACCCAGTGGATCTAAATCAATGACCAAATTGATCAATAATGTATTTGGAAAGAGAAGGATATGTGTTTAGTAGACATGTGATCTTAGGAGATTTATTATATCAGAAAGCTTCGAACATTAACATGATAATTAAAGTAATGATTTATATGCAATTACTGCAAAAATAATTCTCTTGCTGATATGAAATGATTGAGTATGAACCACAGCTGTGTTTTTAAATGCATAGTTTGCCTTTTTGGTTGGTTGTCTCCTATTTACTGTGCTTCACACATAATATTTATTTATTGTACAAAATAGTACTCATTATAACCTATTGGTGGATAGCTATTTTGTTTGCCTTGGCAAATAAACTCTGCTTATATAATTTTATTAAACTACCATTTCATTGTCTGTAGTGTACCTTTATTTTATAAGATTCCATTGAATGAAATGTATGGTTATATTCATATAGTTAATATTGATATATTATAGAGCTTAATTTATCAACTTGTGAAAGTTCCTGATTTATTTAATAGAAATGCATGAATTTATTTTTAAAGTATAATATCTTTACAATAAATCAGTGAATTACAAGATATCACACAAATTTTATAGTCTAACTTAGGCCTTCAGCAGCTAAATTCCCTGCCCATAAGTACGTATTTTGGAAAAAGTCTGCCTTTTGTTGTTGAGTGCTATGTTAACAAAAGCCATTATCACAGAGAAATTAACTCATATAGCTCTTTATATCAAAAGACTGATCTATTTTAGTTCACTTAGAAACTGATACATCATAGGAAAAAAGTAAAAACTGGTTGCTAAATGTATAACGTTGTAGGCTTTGTTTCCCTGAAAAGAAATATTTTTGTGTTAGATACAAACATTTTGGGTCCTCTCAGGTTACTTTGATTACCATTTCCTTCCAGAGACACTAGTTTACCTCCTAGATTACAGTATCACTGCTGGTGCTCTTGGGAAGCTTTGACACCTGCTTTCGTTCAAGTCGAGACTCAAAGTCTAACTATGGCCAAATTGTGGATAATTAATGTTAGGTCTCAGACAGTTAAGCTAGGACTACAGGCATTGCTGCATACACATACATGGTTAATAAATATCAGCAAGAATCTGGGGACTAAGGTGGAAGATCTTGAGTAGAAGGTGGTAGACTGGAGTGGGGGAGGGGCAACTATTAGGGAGAATATTAGTCTGAATAGGTGAGAAATTCATTGACACAGGGTCACTCACCATGAGTCCCGAGGCAACATTTTAGGAATGACACCTCAAGCTGGTCTATATAGCGTTATTGTTCCTTAGAAGTTGGAGTTTGATGATATGCTAAAGTAAAAGTAATGAAAAAAACAGAAATATCTGGTAATATACAAAATAGGTTCAGAATGTTCATAATGATGCAGGTAGTTAGAAATGATATATTACATTGGATCCAAGAATCTACTATCTGACTATGTTCTCCGGGAGAATTCAGGGAACTTCCTTTACTCAGGAAGTAAGGGATACATTGATGAGTGGGCACAGACAGCTTTGAGAAGCTTCATAGTGACTGTGCTTTTATGGGTAAGAGCTGACAGTAGATTGACTCTGTTGTTCTATGTACATGGATGTTACCACTAAACTGTGCTGCCCAATATCAATGCACACGAATGAATCCTGGAACAACAGAATTTGTTTGCCAGCATTTAGCCTGTCGCCTATTATCCACCCCACTTGGCCCCCAAAGGAATGGTGCCAGACCCAGGATGGAGGCTCCATTTCTGATACTGTCTGGTTGCATACTTTAGAAGTGATGTATTCCATCAGCCATGTTGAGGGAACGTCCATATTGTGGACCCATACACACGTTGCTTCCATCTCTACCTCCATGGCCACTGCTACAGTCAGTCCATTCCATTATCACAGAAGTAGCCAAGAAAGGAGGCAGGTGGCCAGGATCTGCTGGCCAGGTCATCCTGTCCATATAATGGTAAAGTTACTTCTCTTTTTGGAATTCTTTCTGGAAAGCATTAACGTGATACATAGGATCTGTGTATTTTATGACCCCACTGAGAGATCCATTTACATATGTTTTCTTCAGACTTTCTTGTCACTGGTTGCCCAGTTTTACCTCTTACAGACCTCTGACCAGCTGGCAAAACTATTATTAATAATTTTATAGTGCTGCCTCTAAATCAATGTACTACATGCCACCTGTCTTACCACACAAGGTAGATAACAAATTGGACTTCTTTGGAAGTTCTGCCAAAACTGGGATAATTTCCTTCTCCTAAAGAACTTCATGATGATCTCTGTGTAGGGCTGTAATGAGGCAGAGTCCTCTTTTGGCTGGTACTATCAAGTTTAAGTGAAATAAATTTTCTATCAACTAGGAACATTTCATATTAGATTGCTATGCGAATGAGAAATAAACTATTGTGTGAAGTTATCCTAGCAAATTTAGTTATATCCTTTTCTGGGTCAATTATTTATAAGAATTTTATTATTCTTTTAATAGTCTCAGTATTGACTATTTATATCAGTATAAGAAGTTATACTTTCATATTTCATTTGTTTTGTTATTCTTTTGCATTGTCTCAGCTTTAGAGACTAGGTTTTCATTCTTTAGAATCATTTTTCCAGTTAAATAAAGATTCTTTTGGGACAATTTTGTATTAAAAATAACATTTATCTAAGTTACATATACGAATTTTAATGTTAACATGGTATCCAAATTCTTTAACAGCTTAATCCATGCATATGTATCTGTGATGAGTAAGAGCTCAAAATGTTTCTGTTAAAGATACTACTTATATTTCCATATATATTAAATTTTTTATTTATTATATTCTGATGTTTTAGCAAACTGACCTTGAATGGCATACCTAGTTACAAGAAATCTATGGAACATAGTAATAACAAGAATTTATATTTTAAGAGTGTTTTGGTGAAGAAACTTTAGGAACAAATGGCTGATTGTTTTTCCAAGTAATATTTGAAAGTGTTGAGTTAATTCCACCTTTGATGATGTGACAATTTTAGAACAAGCACATACAGTTTTTGATATCTCTTCCATCTAAAGATTATCTCAATTCCCCTTCTCTTGGATCATACTTATTGAATCTCCTTTACAAACAAAATGAGGTAGAAGTAATGTGTGTGACTTAAGAAGCCAGGTTAGAAAAGGAAATAGAACTCCCATCTGTTTTTCTATCTCTTGGGATTCTGCTCTGGGGGCCATGAGTTAACATATATGAATTTAGCTCCCAGAAGGCACCAAGCTAAGATACCACATAGAGGTAAGGACCACACAACTACCAGATAAATGAGCAAATCTGCAGGTGATTCCATCCTCTGACCTTTGGTCTACCCCAGCTGATGCCAAGCAGAATAAAGATGAGTTACCCCAACAGAATCCTGCCCCTGACTACAGATTCACGAGCACAATCAATATTGTTGTTGCTCTGGTATTGTTAATGACAACAGATAATCATTAAAACCCTCAACAACTCTGCCAATATGAAATGATTGGCTTTCTTACTAAAGAAAAACAGGGTGAGAAGAGGAAGTCTCCAACCAGATACAAAATTGTCTAGAACAAGTTGTCCCAAGATCGGTTTTCTTGTGACTATAATTCGCTTGTAAATCAACTTGAAAAACCTTAAAAATAATAAATTGCATTTTCCCAAAGCGAGCCAAAAACACATATACCTACAGAGAAACAAATACATCAACATTAAGCTGTAGAATGTTGTAGTTTGAGGCTAGCAAGTGTATCTATAAATCTCAGAGCTAGCTAAGCTGTATCGCAAAGCGGGGAATGGCCCATGCTGCTTCCAGTAAAAAAGATGCTGTCATTCACTTTGGATGAGCTTCAGTGAGATAACACATAATGAGGGGCAACAGCTGAGGAAGGGAAAGCCAAAGGGGAGGGGTTTTAAAATGGTTTTGATTTAATACAAGGCATGCACTATTAATAAAGAAGTTGAATGATACCTGTATGTTTTATAGGTTTATAAATTGGCTGTAGTAAAATATTTTACATCTTAGATCACTAGGTATTGTTTCAGCTTATTATGGGAGATATCTATCTAGAGTTGACTGAATTGTATTAATCTGAACCTAGTTTAATGATGCCTTAACATTTTTATGGGGGAATTTAATGTTTGCAATATCCATGTTCCTTATTTGAAAGCGTGACTTATAGGTTTCTCATCTTCCTTAAATTATAAAATCCTTCAGCTAATAAAGGAAAATGATTATAGTTTGCAAAAAAGGCAAAGTCATTTAACAATCCATATAACTGTCTATTGTAGGGCTTTGCATAATAATTGTAATTTAGCTATTAGGAATTCTAAAGGCAGTTATCAGTCATACTCTACAATTCTGGGGAATCGGGCAAAGCCCAAATTATTTAAAATATTTTAAATTCCCAAAGAAAAAGGGCATACCATAAATTTGAAATATACTCTATGCTGGTGACAAGATATTATTTCATGAGAAAAGAAAAAGTTCATCATAATTTTCTAATGTATAAACTACCAAACAGATTATTTGTCTGCCTTTTGGATATAGACATAACGCAAGTTTATTTTTAATAATGGAAATACAAGTTACTCTAAGGAAGGAATTTGCAGGTTGTGAAGTATTAATATCTATGTGGAATTTGACTGACATTTTAGTAATTCCCAAACAAATAAGGCATAAAGAATTAACAGAAAGTAAATGATGAAATCATTTGACACTATATGAAATTATAATCACGAGTTACCTGTGTGGTTTTTTGGCCATTCTGCAGCACTCCAGGTGAATATTTAACAACCAGACAAATGAAAACTTTTTAAAACACTTATGCAAGTTTAGTAAAAAAGTAAACGTTATATATTCACTTTCAAGGTATATGAGAGCAATTGATTTGGACTTACAAAAAAATGAGTAGCGGCTCAGTAATTAACATGGTAGTTAAATGAGTGGGCCTGATGCAAAAATGAGATAGAGCAATTCAGAGGAAAGGGGAATATTATTGAAATACTATGAGGTAATGTTCCCCTTTTTCTCAGCAAACATCAGGATTTGGAGAGGAATTAGTGGACACCTATGAAATATTGGAAAATTGAACCTCAAAGAAAGGTGTACCTATGGACAAAAGGAAAAGAAACCTGATAAAACCATCTTCGAAACCAGAAATTACATCCACTGCAGATTACATAAAATGGGCTTAAACTGTGACTTGTGAAATTCTGATTAGTTTAAAAAAAAACACCCCCGA